CTCTGCCGGGGACCTGGGGGTTGCACAGCGGGGTGCTTTAATTGCTGTTGGGTCCCTTCCTGCCGGGGACCTCGGGGTCACATGGGGGGGTGCTTTAATTGCTGTTGGGTCCCTTCCTGCCGGGGACCTCGGGGTCACACGGGGGGGGGCTTTAATTGCTGTTGGGTCCCTTCCCGCCGGCACCCTCGGCGGAAGACGGGGGTTAATCCCGACTGGTTTTTCCTCCACCAGATCCTCATCGTCACGCTACGGGTGGCCCTCCCCAACGTCATCCGCTTCTGCTGCTGCGTGGCCGTCATCTACCTGGGCTACTGCTTCTGCGGGTGGATCGTGCTGGGCCCCTACCACGTCAAGGTGCCCGCTCCGCTTGCGGACTTGGGACTCCGGGTGATTCCCCGCAGTCGGATTTGGGAGGAGATGGTTACTCTCGGTTAAGGGGAAAGAAAGAAGCTTTCTGCAAGATTTTATTTCTTGTGGATAAAACTTAATCAGCCCGACAGAATCAAGGGCCTAGCGTTGTCTGCCTGTTTCAGAGGAAGTTATGGGATAAAGGGAAGTAACCAAGTTTCTTGAGGGAAACGTACAATAAAATTACCAAGATAAATAACTGGAGATAGATTTCTCTAACTACCTCCATCTTCTAGAAAGAACAAGAAATTTCAAAACCAAATCAATAGTTTCTCTAACTTTTTTTGACAGAGATAACCATGTTCAGGCAATTTGCCGTCACGCCAGTTTTATACCGTTGTAGCGAATAAAAAGTATAAGTTCTGGTTTGTCCAATAACTTAATAGCCTCTCTCTGAAGCATTTATATATTTTTTTGACTTGTGTTGTCTAGATCAGTAGACACCAAGCCCCCTAAGTGCTAGTAGGAAGCGAAAACGTTATGCATAATACAACGTACAATTTAAAAAAAAGAAAATCCTGGTTCAGGTAAATAGGTAAGGATAGGATGGGCTATGAAAACTTGACTATAATATATAAAATTAATATATATATTTTTTTCCAGGTTGGTAACAAGGCAAAGTGGTTGTGAATCTTTTGCTGACATGCTCAAGCCTATAAGAATCATTTATTTGTGTGATGAGATTATTTTTTTTATGAGGCTTTTTTTTTCTTTTTCCCCCCAATTTACTCCTTAATTTGTTTTTTTTAATCTCTGTCTAAATCTTCCTGAGAAACAAAACCGATTTAATGAGATAAGGTGATATGAGAGAAAACTGGGTGGCCGTGTGTGCCCTGAAATGAAGACATCCTTTTCTTTTTTTAAGTTATCTGCTTGAAGTCCCCCATGGGCACCCTCGTTTCTCGTGGGCGCCGGGGCGGCGTTTGGGAGCATCCCAGCTGGGCGGTGGGAAGGGGCGAGCCGTTGTGGTTGGGAGCCAACTTTTTGTCACCTCCCCATCCCAGTTCCGATCCCTTTCCATGGTCTCCGAGTGCCTCTTCTCCCTCATCAACGGGGACGACATGTTCGTTACCTTCGCCGAGATGCAACAGAACAGTTATTTGGTCTGGCTCTTCAGCCAGATCTACCTCTACACCTTCATCAGCCTCTTCATCTACATGGTCCTCAGCCTCTTCATCGCCCTCATCACCGGCTCCTACGAGACCATCAAGGTGAGGCCGGACCCTGGTGTTTAAGCAGGAGGGGG